GTTCAAATATGTTATAATAATTAATTTTTCTCAGGCATATATCATAAAAAATAATAATGATGACTCTTGAAATAATTATTTTAGCATCAAGAAAAAGTCATAAATTGTGATATTTTTTAAAAAATTGCAGTAATAAAAGTTTTTGATGTTCATTTGCTATTTTCTTTTTTTTTCCTTTATAATATTGAAATTTGTGTTATTAGTATGATGATTATTGTATAATAATAGGCCAACCACATACGATATACGATGTCAGGTTTATTTTTATTTTGGTTGGTGGGGGGGGGGGGGGGGAGAGAGAGAGTGTGATAAGGTTCATAATTATTGTGATACAAAGTTGTGAAGATTACGGAATGTAAAAAATCGGCCTCAATAGGGTGACGTCATTTATGACGCTAAGACAGTGTATCTTAACATTCCCTCATACCTATCACTGTCCCACAGTATAAAGTAGTAGGTTAGTACTAGTAGTAGTAGTAGGCTACGCAATATAAAGTATTACACAAAATTAACGTAAATTCACCTGTAGAATCCATGTAATCTACAGGTCTTTTACTAAATTGATGTCAATTTCTTAAAATGCATTATTATTACATAAGCCGCAAAGAAATTCAGTGAAGGAAATATTTTTAAAAGTTAATAATAAAAATAAAACATATTTAAGCTTCTTATACATTTAATTCAAATCTTTCCGCTTTATAGAATTTCTATTACTAATTACTAATAAGTTATTACCCTTCTGCGCAGACGCTCTTTGCATAATCATAATTAATAATGCATTTTAAGAAATTGTAAATTGTTACCTAAACAAAGCCAAAATACGAGTAAAAAATGGTGTGTTAGATCAGATGTGTAAGAAAACGATATGTTCCACTTTTTCGTGTGCTTAAACTAGTCTTTGAAATAAATTCTTTCTTGCAAGATTTTTTAAATCCTTTATAGGCTACTATGCCTATTAACTATTAACTTTGCTGTTCGTGGCTAGCAAAATCTTCGGACGGTTAATTGACCATCTTCCTGTCAGCCTAGCGAGATGAAACTTGGCACATTGAGTTCATAGTTCGTTGCCGATGACAACACATTCTTTCAAATTTTAAGTCATTCCCCCCCCCCCCCCACTCCCCCAAAATACCTTAAATCTGTTTTTCCTGTTTTTCGAAGGGAAGATGAAGAAAATATGACGCCGATTTCACGAAGTAACATTCCCGATAACTGCGCTAAATGGGATTCTTTTTTTTTTTCTTTTTTTTTTTAAATATCGCAAGTGCGTTTGGTGCGCAATATTTTCTTTTGTCACATAAATATAAGAATGAGCTATACTGACATAACGCCAAAGAACCAATACGATTTAAGTACATTCGGATTCCTAAAAATAATCAGTTATTTTCTATAATTTTACTGAAATCGAATAAATTTATATGCGCAAAAAATATTTTAAACCCGCTTTTATTTTAGTCAAAGTTTAAGCATTCTTCTTCTTCTATATCTTAAGGGCCCACGATCAATTTATTGATCATTTTGGCTCCTATGCATGTAGATGGAATTTGCAATGTTTCTGTTCCTGGTGTTGATGAGGAAATTTCACTGATTTCCAGTGCCACTTTGTGAGGGAATCATGCACTAGGGGTTTGAGGCAATAGACACAAATGTGTCTAGTGTTTTCGCCTCAACTGATCCTTTTGAAAGCTTGTTCCAGTCCCTGATTGTCTTGGGCAGGAATGAGCAGCTCCTATACGGGCTTCTTGCTGGTTTGAGCCTGAATTGCCTGTCATGGCCTCGTCGCTGTCTATGGGGGAGAGGGAAGATTTTCTGTTTATAAATTACAAATATATTTTAAGAATCAACTAAGGAACTATTTTAAGCATTTTATATGTGTTTGAAAGTTATGAAAAAAATGAAAAATAAAAAAAAAATATTATCAAAGAATTACTCAGTAATCACATTTATCGGGAAAACCCAAACATCAGATGTTTTTAGTGCGTTGTTAATATTGCGAAATAAAATTAAAATTAATTTGTTCTAAATAATCACACAAACGACGTCATAGCGCCAATGGCCTATTTAGCCAAAGCTAAAAATTCTCTGATTTAATCATCGCGCGTAACAAAATTGATAAAGTATTTTCACCTTCTTAAAAGTAAAAACAATCAACATAATGGATTGCTTTTTAAATTGCTAAAATTAAATACAAATTTAGCTTTGTATTTTTAACATTTAATAAGTTTTTACTTTTTTTATTTATTCCAAAAATATAATTTAATGAAATGTATAAAGTAAAACTTTACCTTTAAACACACTTTTAATAAGAAAATGACATTTAATTCAATCAGTACAGCCAAACTACATAGCTAAATAAGATTCAATAATGCACTCGTCCAAATAAGAACAAAGCATATGAAATACAAAAAGTGTTTTTTTTTTTGCGTGAGTAAGGGGGTTACAATGCCTTGGATGATTTTATTATTATTTTTAAAACTGTCTGGCGAGGGGGGGGGGTTGAAGTAATTAGATACTTTTATTTTGCCCAAGGAAAATAAGAACAAAGCATATGAAATACAAAAAGTGTTTTTTTTTTTTTGCGTGAGTAAGGGGGTTACAATGCCTTGGATGATTTTATTATTATTTTTAAAACTGTCTGGCGAGGGGGGGGGTCTGAAGTAATACGATACTTTCATTTTGCCCAAGGCAACAGAAAATACGCTTCAGAGTGAATTTGATAAATAAGTAACCTTCTTATATACATTATGTATCGAGGGTAGGAAAAAGGGTGTGTACATTTTTAAGTGGATGACAATATCTTCAAATTCAATGATACAGTTGTTAAAATTAGATGATATATTCTCATTTTACAAATGAACATATGTTTACCAATTAAGAGAATCAATGACGTTAACAAAACCTAAGTATATTTATATAATTATAGCCATAAATATATCAGAACCCAATCATTTTACATAAGTGAAAATTAAATTTTCAAAATACAGATGGGTTAAGATTTTCTTAAATAGACAGACCGACAGACCAACCAAGCGATAGACTGGCAAAAAGTCATACATACCGACCAACAGACCCACCGATAGACAGACCTACCGACAACAGACTGACAGATAGATGTATGGATGGATAATCACTTATTAAAGACTAATTTATGTATGCATGTTCCGTATATGCTGCACTGCTATACCATTCATCCGATTGCGACAAAATGTTTGTGAGTTTTGTCCGCACACCCGCCAATAGTTCTAAGTTAGTACAACCATTTAACAATATTCTGTTTTTAGCGAGGGCCGTAAATTCATTTTTAGCTTATATTATCTAGGCCTATACAAATTTAATTTTCGTATGCGTCCCTACACCAATCATCCAATTGCGATAAAACTTTTGTGAGTGTTGGGTGCCCGCCCGAAAAGGTTTCTGATTTCGTACAACCATTTTACCATATTGCGTTCGAGACCGGGGGCCCTAAATTCGTTTTTTTTTTTTTTTTAAATGAGCTATATAAATATAATTTCAAACAGAGCTAATGCCTTGGCCTTGGTGGATATTTTAATCAAATACAAATAACGATAGCGATATTTCAGCTTGTATATGACATATTATTAGTAGGTTTCTGAATTTAGTACAATCATTTTAAAATATACAATTTAGGGCCGGGGTCCTAAATTCGTTTTTTAAAAATTATATGGGCTATTTAAGTCTAATTTCAAACAGAGCTATTGCATGGGTGGATCAGTCGCCGCTATAAGTGTGTGGTCCAACTTTTTTGAAAATCATTGCGTCTCACTTGGACAGCTGTACGTGGCCTGCTCACGGATCAACAAACCTTCTAATTTTATTGTCAATGTAAAAAGCACTTCAAAAAACAGTATTTAAACACAAACACGCTCTTTCTTAGGGTGGGATTGCAACGCATGCCGGGCTCTCGCTAGTTATGCAATAGTAAAATAAATCTGCGATGTACACGCGGGTGGGTCTAATATAGATTAGGGGCGTGAAAAAAAAAGTGCGGTTGCGAGCCTTGGGGGGGGGGGGGGGGGTTTTGGGGTTTTTAAAACAAATTTTTTTTTAATATTGTGGGNAAAGTGCGTTACGTGTAGGCCTAGGCGTATTGTTTTGTCAAATGTTCAGCCCTCCCTCCCCCTTAATTACTCGATATTAAATTTTATAAAGGATTTATACGAAAAACTTTGTCTTAGAGTTTTTTTTTTTTTAAATTCAAATTATTACTTATCTATAATGGAGGAGGCATCCATTATTTACGTCAACAAAATAGGGGGGGGGGTGGAAATGTTTGACAGTTGTTGACAAGGGGACGGAAGCTGTAATGAAATGTTGTTCCTACAATTTTAAGTGTCATTTAAATAGATAAGCAAAAAGTAAAATGTATTTATAAATTTATTTATATTATTATTCATGGGGGGGGGTGGGGTATAACATGTCAACATAATTAAATGGGGGGCGGGGGGTCATCGAAAGTTTGACAGATTTTACAAAGGGGGGGGGGTCAAAATTGTGTAAAAATTGTTGATGTAATTAACTAATTATAAAAAGTTTTGGACTGCGATAAAGCTTTAAAATATATTAATTAGACACCAGCAATATCTTGACGTAATTAATGGACAACCCCAAAGCACACAATGCCCTAAATCTAAGCATTACCGGTAAACTCGATGGAGTTGACACCATTCATGGCCGTGTAGTAGGCCTACATAACCCCGAGGACAAAGTCTATTACAGTTTAGTAAAGGTGCGACCTGCCGTGCCACAAAATACTTGACATTTACTTTAAAAAAGCGGATACGTTTTATTTTTAGCATATTTAAATTTATTAGATTTCCATAAAATAAAAGAAGATCACTTTTTATTTTTTTTTTAAAGATTCCAAATGTATTTAAATTGCTTAGTTTCTTTAGTAATTATAGTGTCAGTCTAGCGCATTCTTATATATATTAAAGCGATTTAAAAGTATTAGTGTGAATCTTATAAATGACGGGTTGCGGACATGCGCAAACCATTTGTTGACTCCAACTTCAAAATGGCCGACATAGATAGGACCACTGGATCTGACAACAAGAATATTCAAGATTTAACCCAATTTGTAAGTAATTTTGAATACAAAATTTAGGTTTTAATATTAAAGATATAATTATGAATTCCCTGAAATTTGTGGGTTTTTTATTTGTTCAAAAGTTATTTGATGTTATTCCGATCTATTGGCAAAAGTCTTTGTAGGATTGTTCATTCAGTGCTCAGTGTTCTTAACAAGTTGTGACATGACTGAAAGTATTACTTTCCAATATTTCAAGTATTGATTACTTTGAATGGGTCTACGGAGATTGATCAATAGCTTGTGACGCACGAGCTGAAAACAATCGATAAGCTTTCTTTCAAGTAACAAAGAGCATTAATGTTAGCTTTATCAACTGTCAAACCACACTCAAACTATTCTGACACTGTAACAATGAGGACAATGTCACTGACATGTGACATGGAAGAATAGTAATATTGGTAATTCAGTCATAGAGATACTTCAGTTGCTAAGAGGAAATAGCAGTAATGATTTAACATTTCTTGGCCGGGCCATATTTTTTTATTGCAATATATTTTTTAGGTGTTAAAGTTAATTAATTATTCAGCAATAATTTCCAAATAAATCATCTCAGAATTTAGAATTATGGGTTAACTTGTACTATAACTAAGCCAGCTGCTCCTAGTGCTAGAAATACTTATTATCACTAAAAGTAAAAGGGATGCATCCAATTCAGCTTCACCTTGGTTTCTTAACAGAAACATTCCTTATTTTAACTTCCTGTCTTTCTGCGACCTTCATTAACCTCTTCATCTCCTGGGAAAAAAAAGAAAAGAAAGAAAAATTCAAGAGAAAAACAAAAGTTATCTCTGTTGAATTGCTGCTTTATTATATTAGATGGTGTTCAGCAAGCCACACTAACCAAAGCATACAGTAGTGCCTTCTGCATTGTGTCATAAGTTTGTAGAATGTTTCCTGACAAAACATTAATTGAAATATGAACTGGTTCCTGCGATCTGCTGGCCATGGTATTGTTTATTTTTTAATATTACAAGCAAAATTTGAAGTAAACAATTTTGTCACCAATTATTGGCGGCTATTAGGCTTGTAGGCGGACACTTTCTAGCGAAAAATATTCAATTTTTAATTTGGGACTGCCGTTGTGAGGAGTGCCCTTGAACGCAGTCCTTAATTTATTATCCTTTATTCCCATTGGTTTCAAAGACCCAATCTTCTCACCCCTACCAACTCGCATCTAACATCCATCCATCCCTGTGGCGCTACAATCCATGCAGGGCTTTGGTCTGCCTCACTACCTCCTTCCACTCAAACTTAACTAATGCTTTCCTTTTCCATGCTTGGATTCCCAGGTGTTTCAGATCTTTATGCACATATTCCATCCATCTAAGCCTAGGTCTTTTTTTTAGCCGTTTTCCTCTGGGGTTTTGGTGATGCACCCTCTTCACTCCTGTCATTCTCTCATAGTGTCTTGCCCAGCGTAGCCTACCCTTTTTTACAAAAGCTACTATCATGGAATCCTGATATAGACTGTATAATTCATGATTTGGTTTATATTCTCCATCCATATTCATCCTTTGTTGGTCCATATATTTTCCTGAGAACTTTTCTCTCCCATGTGTTTTCGTTAGGATCCAAGTTTCACTTGCTTATGTTACAACTGGTCTGATACAGGTTTTATAAATAGTTTTCTTTGTTTCTCTTGTTATGTTTTTATTTTTGAGTATTTTCTGACCACTGAAGTATGCCCTGTTTCCGGCTGATATCCTTTCTTTTATTTCTGTTGGTAATTCTTTTCTTAATTTAATAACTCCCATTTAAACCCCCACCCAATTCATGATTATCCCCTTCTTTGCCTGTATATTATTATACAATACAATGCTTTTTGAATAAAAATACAGTTAACTTGTTTAATTCTTTAAACAGCATATTAATTACTAAAAGAAAGGAACTATAAAAAAAAACTTTGTAATATTGAATTGAAAGATGTCTTGTTCACAATAACTAATTTTACATTTCTCTTAGCACTTTTCTTCTATAAGATTTTTTAAAATGAATTGTTAAGTATCTAATTTTACGTACTACTCAATTTTTTGTTTTTTGGGGATTCATTTTTTAATTCGTTTATTTTGTTAAGCAAGAGAAATACTGGGTATAGTTAACTATGAAATTTTTCTTTTTACAGGTGCAGACACTTATGAATAATATGCAAGATAAGTTTCAAGCCATGTCTGAACAAATACTTGGTAGAAATATCCTTTTTTTTTGTTTCTAAGAATCAAATGATTATAAGAAAGGTTATTTATTTAGTCACAAATAAATTACTTTCATCTTAAGCAATATAAAATTTCTATTTTCATTGATATTCTATTAGTAGGAATTTATATAACAAACCCTTCACTCCTTATTCTTATTTGGTGGTTCTCAAAGTGGGTGAAAGAGATGTGTCAGTTGCATGTATGTGTAATTAAGGCGACATACAACACTAATTTACTAATAGTAATTGCGTTTACAAGAGCACACAAAACTGAATATATATATATTTTGCAAATCTTCTTATCACACTAATGGTTTGCAGGCATCTTATTAACTTTCATTACTTAATCTGGAAGGATACATACAATGTGTGGAAAAATTCAGGGTACCCACAATTATTAAGAAACAAATGTTATGCCATTTACATGTGCATTAGTAACATTTATAATTAAAATATAAGTTATACCTTTTGTTGTCATTTCCTTAACGGAATTTACTTGATGATATGGGCACTCGCATCGATGATCTGGAAAAGAACATTGCAGATCTAATGACCCAAGCTGGTGTAAGCGATGGAGGCTTGTAGTACATCATGGGACCATTCATTAGCTTTTATTATTTTAAAGCTTTAGCCATTGTTTTAGAATGGATTTGTTGTAATTAACATAGTTAAAAAGATGTCATCTCTAGAAGTATTATGCAGTTAACTAATGAAATTATGTACTTTAAGAGGAATATACTTTAGAAGGTATTCTGACATGATTAAAAACTGACAAATTTGCAATAAATTATGAGTAGTGGGAAATAATTATTTTATTTTTATTACAATTTAAACATTATGTGTTAATTATTTAATTTTTGTTGAATAATTCATGTGTAAAGTTTTTTTTAATTCATGTTCAACTGTTGGTAGCATTTGCAAATATTTAGTTTTTTCATAAGCTATACTTTAGGCAAAACTGAAGATGTTTTGAAGAATTTGCACATTCATTGTGGTAAAATGAGAAGATATATTATTATCTCTTTCTTAGATGGTACTAATAATAGTTTGGGTATTGATTTATGCTAGTCAATGAAAAATTACCTCTTTTAATCAATATGTTTGGGATTCTTTAAAAAAAAAAATTAAGTAAAATTGTAAAAAATGTAAATGTTATTCATTTTTAAAAAGATTGTTGCTTATTTTTTTTTTCCCATCAAAATAGAAAAAAAATAAAATTATCTTGATTGAAAAGTGTCTGTTCTAATTTTTATGCTTCTTTTAATGAATGGATGTTGTCAAAATTGTTGTGAAGTGCATTAATTTTGAAGAAAAATGAATCATTACAATTGTTTTATTTGGCCTTTAATTTTTTTATGTATTTAATATTAATCTGGCGACAATTTCTCTCAAAGGTTTAGACTAGACATATTATTATATTGGAAAATATTTTTAGTTAATTAACTACTAATAGTTTTAGACATCATTTACCATAATGAAATAAGACATAAAACTTTATATTTACAAAATTATTTAATATAAATTATATTGAACTGATCATCAGGACTTCTTGAATCCAAAAAAGACACCACTTTCTGATACTTGTTTCAACCTAAAGAGATAAATAGAGGAAATTAATTAAGAGTTAAAAGACCAAACAAACTGAGACAAAATTAGTTATAATGAAACGGTTGATTTGAAATGATTAAGTTCATAATGAAAATTAAGTGCTATGACAAAGCTGATAATAGGATTCATTGTGGTGGGTTAACCCATTATGCATTTGTTAACTTGCAAACATACATTTATCAGCTTGGTTTAAAAAAAGAAATTTAAAATTATATTTTTTTTTATCAAATCTTTTTATATTCAATATTAGGTTTATAATAATAACAAGGCCAACCTTGTTAAAAGTTCAAAATCATTAACTGGTGAATCATCACTTTCTGACTCTGTGTCAGCATCACTCCCGGAACTCTCTCGTTCTTTTTTTAATTTCTTGGACTTCCTATGCTTCTTATGCTTTTTATCCTTTTTGTGCTTTGACTTTTTCTAAAAATCAGAGATGTTAAAAATGTCAATACTCCTTTCAAGTATTTAAATAGATAAGAAAATAGTTTTATCCATTCTAATTGACAAGTAGGAATGAGTTAGATACAAATAACAACAAAAGTATCAATTTAAATTACTAAACTAATAAAATTATAAAGATATTTTTTCTCTCCAGAAAACGATTCTCTACTTGAATATTTAATACCGGTACCGCAAATAATTTATATTTCATAAAGAGAAAATTAAAACTGAAGGAGTAAAAAAAAAAAAAGCGGCTTCACAATTTTCACCTTTTTCTCTTTTTTGTGTTTTCTAGATGCTTTATGCCTTTCCTTTAGTTTATCTGTTGATTGTTGTTCTTTCATAAACGATGTAGAGTGGGCCACTTCTGTAATGAATTCAACAGTTGATTCATATTTTAATATATTGCTACTATAAATTATAAAGTTAAAATCAGAGATGCTATCTAAATATTACACAAATAACTTGTTAACCCACGAACTGTGGTTGGCGGAAAAAATCGGCCGACATTCTTGTTTTTTTTGTGGTGGCCGAAAAAATCGGCTGATAAAAAACACTGTCCGATTAGCAACTTCCCATCCAAAATTTAACCGGAATTATAGCCACTTCCTTTTAATAATAATTAAATCACCTTCCGGTTCAAGCTGTTTGGTGATAACTTGAAAATAAATACTTTTTAATCCGAGTTTTATATCACTGTTTTTTTAAAAGCTAAAATGGTTGAAGCCATGACTGAAGTCATTCAGTGCAAGAACTAATAGAAATATGGTTGAAAGCTTTTTAGGATTTTAACATTCCCCATAACGATATCAGTTGAGATTATTCTTCTCGTGAATTCTATTCTAGTCTTAGTGATGTTGAAGTAGGCCTACTGAGGCTACTGTTAGACTTCGAGCCAGGCCCGGAGGTTGGGCTAGGACTGACTAATTTTTAGTCACAGAAGCTACAGATTATAGTTCAGAACTAATAAATTTTATAGTTAAACAACCCAAATCAGTTCCACAGTTCTTTTTTAAATGTTTATTAGTCAATAATTCAATAATAACTATTTTGCCTGAGATTTTGTATTTTGTTCTTGGCTTTAGCAGTGGTCCCAGTTTCTAATATAAAAGACCTAAAATTACTAAAATAGCTTTCAGAGGTTTAATTGCAATCAAAACCTTAGCAAACTATACATTTTCTTAAAGATAAATGAATGGGCTACAACATTTATATTTGTGTTTTAAGTGTATCTATAAAAATTAATGATGTTATGAACACTTGAAAGCAAGACATTTTGTCGATTTTTTTCTTCTTGAGAACTCCAAGGTCAAGGACACTGAGCAAAATTTTTTTACGGGGTGGGCAATATGGCGAACTTTATCCCCATTCATTTACCTTCTAAAAATTCAAACTTATAGGGTTCTTGTATCAATATTTCTATGTCATTTAATGCAATTTCAAATGGCACTCAAAACGCTCTGAAAAGCTCCACACCACAGAATTATACATGCCACAGTTCGTGGGTTAAATATATTAATTGGGTTATGTATTTATATATATTTAGTACCTGTGGTTTGACTCCCTGAAGAGTTCAAAGTGGCTGGTAGCTTCGGCCCATATTCTCCATCACTTTCTCCATCTGATGTGCCAGAAGGAATCGCTAGTCGTGAAGATGCTTCTTTTGACAAGGTAGATTCTGCAAATTTGAGGAAAACTTTTTGAAACAGTTATACAATTTATTTGGCAGAAATAATTTATTTAAAATACTACCATAATTCATTTGGGGGAGCGGGGATGTTAAATTTCATTAAGACTAAGGCATTTGATTTTTCTTTCTTGCATGTATGAGTATATGAAACTTGGCAATAAACAGAACAAGTTAATTCTTCTTCTTCTTTTTTTATATTAAGGGCCCATCTGCGTCCATCTCCTCACAAAGCTGCTCAAAAAGGAGCGCGTTAAGGGCGTGGTTAATAACTTTAACGACATCAATCAATATGCTGTTAAATTCTGGTGACATTTTTTGGCTTACCAGCATTTCCATATGAATGATACAATGCGTAGATTTACTCTAAGGTGCAACCTCCTTAATCCGAGCAGTTAAAACAGACAGTTGCCCGGTCATGGAGGCAGCTACGTCTGTGCATATGCCAACACAAAAGGACCGTTTTAGTTGTCCTGATATATAACCACCCAGTGACCTGAACAGTTCTGCTCCTGTGGTGTTGGTTGGCAAGAGAGTGGACATAACAAATCTTCATGCTCATCCTTCTGATAAAGATATCGCACATAAACAAGTTATTGATATCTGTAGATTCCACCAAAGCTACAACGCCACTGCCGCATCGCAGCCGCTCAGCTCCCGGTTAACCTCTCGTCCTTGGAAAGTCGCACAATCCCGAGAGAAATACACCACAGTAAACAAAATGGAAATAATTTAATGTTACTGGGGCGGCCCTGTACCATTTGGTCCATGGACCGGCGGTCTGCGTCTCCGGGGGTTGGGGACCACTGTTGTAGAGGAGTACAACTTCTAGATACTGACAGTGTCTGGCACTTGGCAGAATGAAATTCCATGTCCCAGCTCATCTCCCACTCAGATATTTATTATCTTGATTTCCCATTTAATGTTACTTATTCACTTTGCTCAATTTTGCCAGAGGAGTTCTTGAGAAACACTCACATTTGATATGTTAAAATATTACCCATTAATCATTTAGCTACCGTATTTATCGGTGTATAACACGCACTTTTTCTCCCTGAAAATAGGGGGCAAATGAAGTGTGCTTGTTATACGCCGATATAATGTTGGTTTTTCCCCCTGAAATTTCCTTCTTAAAATGAGGTGCTTGTAATATGCCGATAAATACTGTACTTGGTTAATTGCAGTGTGTTATAAAAAGGTTTTTGGACTTACCAGTACTCTCAATAAAGCTGCTGTCTTTATCTACATCATCTAAAACAGAAAATACAGATTTCTTTCCCCATCGTGATGTTAACCGCTGTCTATCTGGCAAATTGGGTGTAGATGATGTTGATGCTGAATTAATACTGCTAATACTTTCTTTTCCACTATTCCCGCTAATAGTTGCTGGTTCCGTGGGTGAAGTTGGAATATCCCCTATTCAGAAGATGAACACATTTAAAATAATGTCAAGAGTTTTAAAAAAAAAAAAAAAATTCAGAACAATTTTGCATTCTTTTACTAATTTTGTATAAAAGGTATTCATATTTCTTTGTCTCACTATCTAGTAATTATAATAAATATAAAGATGAAAAAATAAATGCTGGTTCCGTGGGTGAAGTTGGAATATCCCCTATTCATAAGATGAACAAATTTAAAATAATGTCAAGAGTTTTAAAAAAAAAAAAAAAAATTCAGAACAATTTTGCATTCTGTTACTAATTGTGTATAAAAGGTATTCATATTTCCTTGTCTCACTATCTAGTAATTATAATAAATATACAGGTGAAAAAATAACGTATTTAAAGGATAATAATGTTTTTGGTTGTTTTGTTTTTTTACAGTAAAATTTGTCAACTTAGTTGGGTTTTATTTAATTAAAGAAAAAAATTGAGCTATAGTTAGTGACATGTAATAAACTAATAACAAGAGTGTAGGACTGCAATAAAGCTTTCCAGTAGTTTAATGAGACACAAACTATTTGTCTCCGGTAAACAAAACAATATAGGTTCAGCTTTAATTATGGTTTCAGATTTTTTTGGCTAAAAAAAACCCCACTAATACAAGTATAAATTAAATTTACATAATATGTGTGTCCAACTTAAAAATGAAAGAAAAGAATGGGTACAAGTCCCAAATGAAAACAGCACAAGTCCCTGATGAAAACAAAGTCCAGAACAGAAAGAAAGTAGAAGAAAGTACAATTTACAAACCAAAAAAAAATTGCAGCTAAATAAAATTGAGAATTTGGTTTATACTTTATGGAGTCAATGTAACTAGTCCCTTTATCAATTTATTTTCAATATAAATTTTATCAGGTGCATTACTTGCATATAAAGATACCAGTGATTTAATTTTTATTTCTTACTCGCTAGTATTTTACAAAAAATATTATGGACAATAAACTTATTATTTATTCCTTTGTAAGACTAACTTGCTTTAGTTTGTGGAATCCCTGAATTGTCAACCATACTCTGCTCTCCAACACTGTCCCTTGTTTTATATTCCTCATCACT